ATCCATTTTCTTCCCCTTAATCCATTTCTGGGTCGGGGGGGTGGCAGTCAGTGCTGCACCCAGTCACAGAGCACCAGCCCCTCACTGATCCTCCTGCAGGTGGTGAGTCCACAGGAGCTGAGATCTTTCGGCGGGGGCTTCAGGCAAAGTGGGGTTAAGTGTCTTGCCCAAGGACACAACGACAGCCGTCATCAGTGGGAGTCGTGAAGTAGGTCTTGAGGTGGGCTCGAACCCACGACCTTCAGGCTCAAAGGCCAATGCTCTACCAACTGAGCTACTGTCGCCCCTGTGACTAGTACAGAAGTCCAATAACTGATCACTGCTCGGGTTCAGATCGGGGGGGCGTTCTTCCCGATCACCCCTCTCACTGGCATTTCCCACATGGGTGTTGAAGTCCCCCAGGAGAATAATGGAGTCCCCGTTCGGTGCACCGTCCAGTACCCCTCCCAAGGACGCCAAGAAGGCCAAGTACTCTACACTGCTGTTAGGCCCGTAGGCCGTCACGACAGTGAGAGACTTGTCCCCCACCCAAAGGCGGAGCGTCGCGTTCCCCGCTAACCACCACCCATCCCTTCGGGCTGAGCCCGGCCGGGCCCCGTGGGCTAAGGCCCGGCCACCAGGCGCTCACTCTCGAGCCCCGACCCCAGGCCTGGCTCCAGGGTGGGGCCCCGGCTGCGCCATGCTGGGCAAGGTCACCGTTCTTGTAATAGTGCTGTCCAATGTCATGGTTTAGTTTGAGGTCAGAAGAGCTGAGGTAACGACAGAGTGGGAATAAGCACTGTACTTTTTTTATTTATTTTTTTACAAAGTTATTTTATTAGGACTTTTAACCAAAAATCATGTCTTTAAGTATTTTAATCACATATTTCAGACGATGTGGCAAAAAGTTGTCTGTGAGAAAGTGCGCTCTGAAGATATTGCGGTTATTACTTGTTTGCTATAATTTCTGTGAAAACCTGTAAACAAATGTATCATTATGTAAAAATTGCCAAAATTACGGTTGTTTATTTATCACACTTATTTGTCATTTTCCAATAGGCAACATCTGAGAACAAAGTCTTGCCAAATGGACTGGTTGAGGGCCATGCCTATGCTGTAACTGGCCTCGAAGAGGTATTGCACTTTTCAAAACGGTTTTTCTTCAATACTTAAACAAACTAATATCTTTATTATTGACGTTTGTGACATTAATAGCTGATGAGCCGGGGCCAGCGTGTGAAAATGGTGCGTCTCTGGAATCCCTGGGGGGAAGGGGAGTGGAAAGGTGACTGGAGCGATCGGTAAGAGCAACAGCAGATTAAAGCATACACACAGGTATTATAATTAGAACTTTCCATTTACTTCTGTGCTACAAGCAATGGGAAACTAATAGAGGTGCACCGATCGATCGGTAGCCGATTATAATCGGCCGATCACTGCTTAATTTGCATGATTGGTGAAATGTGCCGATCACAAAGACCGATCAGATGACATGAGGGTTCGTGCACACACGTTACGTTCTCTCGTCAAAACTGCGTAAACAAGCAACTCATGCAGCTATCAGTAACGGAGATTCTACCGCAGCAACAACCACACAGTAATGACGTAAGAAAGAACACAAAATATGCACGAAAGTTATGGAATTTATTCCCCACCAGCGCTTGTCTGTTGCGGAAAGCGCTGGGTTCTAACAGCTCATGTTCACCTCTTCAATATGCCATCGCGGAGATATCTGACTGATGTCTGCCTGCTGCAGCGTTACCAAACTGTATATTCTCACATTGACACTCCAGAGCATGGATCTATTATAATAACGAGCCAGAGTCACACCGCGCAGGCACAGCACAAAACACACGCACCGAAACACACTCAGCAGCGAGGCGCTGCCGTCAGGCAGAAACACCCCGTGTCAGGACTTTGCATGTTATGTTCACAGAAATATTGAATTAAGATGAGTGTATTACAGACAGTCCTACAGTGTCGCAGATTTAGCGTTACTTACTACGTAGTTACGCATCGGAACAGACAGCCGCTTGTTTATTGGAAGGAAAATAAAAGCCGCTTCCCTCCTTTGGCCAAAGCAGAGTCTTTCTTCTGCGCTCCATGCACAAGTGCAGACAGTGAGAGTTTAGCGCAGCGGGACTATTCAGGATGATAAACGTAATAAACCCCTGCAAATGCTGAGATGCTAATATTACTGAAGAAAAAGAGAGCGAACGTTGGAGAGGAAAATGCCGGGTAGAGCCGTGCGTGTTCCTCTCCGCCTCAGACGCACAAGCACCCCGCCGCGTTTTCCTCTCTTACGGATCCTCACTTTTTTGGCTAAAACATGAATTAAATCAGCCGCAGATGCCAAGAAAACAGGCAGTAGGTCCATGGGAACGGTGGGTCGGATGTCCTTAAATTCCTTACGTGTGTAGGAACAACCAGATACACAGTTAAAAAGTAAAAACAAAAGAAACAGAGAGCACCGAAAAGCCGTGGCGACCTTTCTTCTCAGTTTAGAAATGCAGCATGTACAGTATTGCTGTATTTCATTGCATTTTTTTAATGTATCTCTGTTAAAAAACTACAGTTGTCTGGACATTAGCACACACAGACAGATTACAGACTAAAAAGTCTGGGTCCTGCAAGATGGAAAGCAAAAAGACAATGAAGCGAGCAACACTGCTTGCTCGCTTCCCATTTGGCGTCTACTACTGCTTGTAGTAGACGCCAAATGGGTAGGTCAAATCACAAGGCACAGGATGTCATCAATACACATGTCATTCAATAATCTTGTAGACCAGTCCTGGGTCTGAGCCTGAGGGTCTCTCTACAGGCCCTTATTGTCCTTTCCAGACCTCTCCGTATAAATGCACCTGCTCTTTGATAGTCTCAGGGTTCTGTTTAAAGCGCAGAGAGAACCATGAAGACAAAGGAACACACCAGGCAGGTCCGAGATACTGTTGTGGAGAAGTTTAAAGCCGGATTTGGATCCTAACAGATTTCCCAAGCTTTAAACATCTCAAGGAGCACTGTGCAAGCAATTATATTGAAAGGAATATCAGACCACTGCAAATCTACCAAGACCCGGCCGTCCCTCCAAACTTTCATCTCAAACAAGGAGAAGACTGATCAGAGATGCAGCCAAGAGGCCCATGATCACTCTGGATGAACTGCAGATAACTACAGCTGAGGTGGGAGAGTCTGTCCATAGGACAACAATCAGTCGTGCACTGCACAAATCTGGCCTTTATGGAAGAGTGGCAAGAAGAAAGCCATTTCTCAAAGATATCCATAAAAAGTCTCGTTTAAAGTTTGCCACAAGCCACCTGGGAGGGTTAGGGTTAGATGAAACCAAAATCGAACTTTTTGGCCACAATGCAAAACGATATGTTTGGCGTTAAAGCAACACAGCTCATCACCCTGAACACACCATCCCCACTGTCAAACATGGGGGTGGCAGCATCATGGTTTGGGCCTGCTTTTCTTCAGCAGGGACAGGGAAGATGGCTAAAATTGATGGGAAGATGGATGGAGCCAAATACAGGACCATTCTGGAAGAAAACCTGTTGGAGTCTGCAAAAGACTTGAGACTGGGACGGAGATTTATCTCCCAACAGGACAATGATCCAAAACATAAAGCCAAATCTACAATGGAATGGTTCACAAATAGACGTATCCAGGTGTTAGAATGACCAAGTCAAAGTCCAGACCTGAATCCAATCGAGAATCCGTGGAAAGAGCTGAAGACTGCTTTTCACAAACGCTCTCCATCCAACCTCACTGAGCTCGAGCTGTTTTGCAAGGAAGAATGGGCAAGAATTCCAGTCTCTCGATGTGCAAAACTGATAGACATACCCCAAGCGACTTGCAGCTGTAATTGCAGCAAAAGTTGGCGCAACAAAATATTGTTCGGCAAGGGGGCCGAATAATATTGCACGCCCCACTTTTCAGTTTTTTATTTGTTAAAAAAGTTTAAATTATCCAATAAATTTTGTTCCACTTCACGATTGTGTCCCACTTGTTGTTGATTCATGACAAAAAAATGTTTTGTCATGAATGTTGTTATGTTTGAAGCCTGAAATGTGGCAAAATGTTGAAAGGTTCAAGGGGGCCGAATACTTTCGCAAGGCACTGTATGTGCAGTCTCATGACACAGACGCTCTCGAGATGCAGATAGGGGTCCTATTGTCTCCACGTCACATTGGCCTCATGACTTAGATAAGTGATTTCCTGCCATGAGTGCTGAAATGGTCCCAAACACATTCTATATGAAGACCCATACATTTATTAATATGCTAATAAACCATTTCTTGACAATCTCAATGCTCTGTAACGTATACTTGTGGTTCCCAACCTTTTTGTCTTGAGTACCCCTATAGGCCTTTGATTTATACTACCTAGTACCTTGATGGTTTTGAAAGATTAGTTATAAAGTGAATAACTAGTTCTATTCATTTATCACTAATATTTTCAATATTTGATCGGATTGGCAATGATCGGTATCGGCCGATCAAAATTTTAATGATTGGTGATCGGTGATCTGTGATCGGCCAAAAAAAACTTGATTGGTGCACCTCTAGAAACTAATATATAACACACTCTTTAAACGTAAAGTGAGATATGTCATTCACAATACAACAAATGTGATTTAGTTGAAATGCAGAAAATAAGGAACTTTGTTCTTGATATTATGTAATTTCAAGTTTCAACTGTACATCTGGCTGTCTTTAGATCAGCCTTTTCAGACAGTAAAGTGAAAAAAACAAAACTTAAGTCCAAAAAAGTAGTTACACAGGGCTCTTTCTTACAAGGATGCAAAAGAGATTTTAATTTTGAGTTGAATTATAGAGATGAATTAAACTTTCACATTACTATAATACTGTGAGTGATCTGTCAATGATGGTTGACTTATGTTAGATTACTGATGTTAAAGATTAAGCTGTTTTTAACCAGGCAGTCGTCTAAACTCAATGAATTGATTGAAATTCCAGTATTTTTCATGTTTAGGTCACCGCTCTGGCAAACAGTAAGCCATGAAGATCGAAAGCGGTGCCTTGCCGTACGTGAAGATGGAGAGTTTTGGTAAGCAGTATCCAAACAATAAACAAACAAAAAACATAATATAGCAAGATCTGATTTTTTTTCTCTGAAAGGATGACTTTTGACGACTTCTGTAAGTTCTACTCAGCCCTGGACATCTGCTGTCTGTTTCCGGACTTCCTGGATGGAAGTTCTACTTGTCACTGGAAGAAGTCCTTCTACGAGGGCCGCTGGGTGGCGGGCATCACTGCAGGCGGCTGCATGAACAACACAGGTACGTTAGCATCACTGCTCTGTGCAAAAGGATGTCAGACCAGACCAGACCAGACCAGACAGAACATGGACCAACACTGGGGCTTGTCTGAAAATGTTCATTTTGTCTGATTTTGACTCCTTTACTGCTTTGTTTCTTGTTCAAAGACAACAACTGGTTGAGATGCAAATTTGTTAACACATCAGCCGCCTTGGTGAGAGGGGAAGACAGGGTAGGGTTAGAGAGCATGGGGGGAGAGGGTCTATTATTTATTGTATTGCTATTGCTTTTATTCATGTATTGTGTGTTAGTTCATTTTAGTTTCACATTTTTGTGTTTTACATATTGTATTGTTATTGTATTGTTTTTAGTGTACCCAGTGTTTCCTCTGGAGGAGCCCTCTGCACTGGGAGCGGTGGTCGGCATGGCTGTGGTGGTCGGACTCTTGGACCTGGTGGGGGCCTGGGGCCTCGGTTTCGGGTCTCCTCTAGATCCTGTGTCGTCCCCTGTGGCTACAGGCGGCTCTCTGCTCCTGGTGCAGACGGCTCCTAGGATGACGCTTTTTCAACTGGTTGCATCCGAACCCTGCCAAGTCTCTCATCATTGTTTTACTGTTTTACTTGTGTGTGTGTGTGTGTGTGCGTGTGTGTGTGTGTGTGTGTGTGTGTCAGAGAGTGTGCATGGGAGCGTGTGTGTGTTTGTCTGTGGTTTGGGATGGGTCTGTTGGGTGGTCGGGGGGAGGGGACATGGGCCGGCGGGATTGTTTTTAACCAAACTGTAAAGCACTTTGTGTTGCATCTTTTGTATGAAAAGCGCTTCATAAATAAAATTTGATTTGATTTGATTTGATTAGTAGGGTGGCAGGTTGTAGGGTTAGAGAGCATGGGGGGAGAGGGTGGTAGGGCAAGCGGCCGTGAGGGGGTGATAAATTACACGTATAATTGAATGTGGCTTACATTAAAGCTGCACTAACTGACTTTGGGATTTTGAAGCCGTGGACTCGCTGGCCTCTCTCTTTCTGCTCCCCTCCCCGCACCCACGAAGCTATCGCCCCCACACACACTCACTGTTGGGACGGAGCTAGTGTCTCCCAATATGGATAATACATGAATATGGATTTTCACGTGGATGGCGTGACCATAAAACGATAGAACCGGGAAGCGCGGAGGAACGGGACTTTCTTTTGGATGGCTGTTTCGCTAAGTAAGCAGTAACCGGTGATGAAGACACGAAGCTTCAGGTTAGCTCCTCCGCTTGTTGTGCTAACTCAGCTGTCTGTGCTAACGGACCTGTAGATTTCTCACGAAAGTGGGGGCCAGTGGTCCGCTCTGATTGGTCACAATCTGCGACCCGAAACACATTCTCTTCCTTGTTTCATCAAAACTCGATCTAAAATATAATGTCACCCCAGCACAAATCTGCGCTAATTATTCTTCAAAAGGACGTATATCCCAATGCACTACATGGACATGGATAGCATTTTCGTAATGAATACGAAAATAAAGTCAGTTAGTGCAGCTTTAAAGTTTAAGAATAAAATATTTGCTTAGAATTTTTATTTGGCATTTTTACAAGCAAATCCATCTGGTTATTCCATATACAGTATACTACTCGCACTATCATACACTGATTTGAAAGTAATTAAATTCCAGCCCACGTATTTTTTTCTCTTCCTCTTAGAGTATCAGCTTTATCATTATTGGAAAAGCTTCCCAGAGATCCAGAATCTTTTTTGAATCAGCACCATTCAATACTGTATTTGTCATCTCGTCCAGTCTCTCCTTTGCTCTTTGCAGAACAGAAAGTAATACTTGCAGTCTGCTTTCTTGCAGATAGTTTTTGGACAAATCCTCAATATCGAGTGAAGATAGACCAGCTGTATAAAAAATGTGAATCGAGCCAAGGAGACAGAAATATGCTGGTGTCCCTCATGCAGAAACCTGATAAGAGAAACAGGCGACAGGTGCAAAACCTTAGCATCGGGTTTACCATCTTCGCAGTTCCTGATGAAGTAAGTCACAATTCTTGGAAACGTAAGATAAGATAAGATAAACCTTTATTCAGAAATTTCAGTACCATCGTGGCCAACCTTACAGCAACAACAGAATCTATTATTTAAAGGTATATAGGAGGATTTTCTACTTCCACGTGGATCGTCAAGACTATTGGTCCTCCCACTTGTCAATCATTCTGGTGACACGTGCTCGTCAGTTCTTTCCTAAATTTGAGAAAAACCTCCTATACCTCTAATATACTAGATAATATAAGAAAATAAAACTTTAAACATTTTAAAACTACAATTGCACTTGGTTCAAGGATAAGTCAGAAACTAGTTAGCAGCAGTCATGAGGTATTTACAGAAGTTTGTTATTTTTTTATTTTTATTTAATCTTTATTTGACCAGGAGAGTCCCATTGAGATTAAAAACCTATAGTTCTCAAGCTTTAGAATAAAAGGAAATAAGATTGAATGACACAGACTCAGGAGTTCTCATTGTGACTACATCAGTACTTTTCTTTTTGTGGCTGTTTTAGTATGCAGCTGTTCAAGGGAAGTTTCCAGCCGAGTTCTTCCGCACTAACAAAGCAGTGGCTCATACCAAAGCCTACATGGACGCCCGGGAGGTGATGGAGTTTGTGGCGCTGATGCCTGGGGAATACCTCATCGTTCCAGCCACCTTCAACCCCAACGAGACAGCTTCTTTCTTGATCACCATCATCTCCAAGTCTGAAACACACGTCCAGTCAGTCTATCTCCAACAGATTGAAATAACATGACACGATTCAATGGTTCTTATGTATTTATGTTTTGCTGCAGTGAGAGCTCCAGTCGCAACAACTACCATCATGTGGAGGTAGAAAAGGTGAGAAAACTCATTGCTGTATTTTACCCTCATTCATGGAAATCGTGGCGGCACTGTGGCTGAGTGAATATTGCTCAGCAACAAGGTCCTGGATTTGAATTCCGGTCGGAACATGGTCTTTTTGAGTGCAGTTCGCATTTTCTCCCCGTGTCTGTGTAGATTTCCTCCGGGTGCTTTGGTTTCCCTTCCACTAAAAACATATACAATAGGTAAAATCCTCCAGCTCCAGATGTCCTGACCAAGCTGAGCATCAACATTTGGAGATGGGTCCGTGTGCTGACATGCTGTAATCTCATGTCAGCTATATACAGTACAGTATAGCAGTAAACTATGGCGACCACAGCTCCTAATAAGTGCCCTAGTGGCATCAGGATGGGTCAAATGCAGAGGATGAATTGGTCTATGGGGAAAAATATAGCACACTTTTACCTTTACCTTTAATTTGATAAAAAAAAAAAACATAATAATATCTGCCTTATTTCTAGCATCCTGAAAACGGGACAAATGGGACAAATGAAGCAAATGAGGACAACAAGAGAAAACTATTCCGTCAATTTTCTGACAAGGTAACTGCACAACCACAAGTGAGCTGACAGCAGAACACATTTTCAATAGTCTGCATAAGAAAAAGGTAGAAGTTAGAACACCCTGTCAGAGTATTCTGGAGAAAAACTAATAAGAATTAAAGCCGCAAGCGGCATCTAACGGCCCTCGCCGCACCGCACAACCGAGGTTGTGCACCCTGATGGGAGCGACACTGTGCATTTTGAATGCCTATGATCAGTGATTGTGTTGGTTTTGAAAAGGTAAACCTCATTCTCCCCATGTAATACTTGACTCAGTCTGTAGGGGGCGCTATTGCTGCAATTTAGTCTTTTACACTTTCAGTTTACCCAAACCCAAGATTTGAACAATCAATTCAAATGTTGTGCAAATCGGACTTTGTATGTGCAAATGGTGGCATTTAATGTTGTACAACAGCGCCTCCTACAATTTAATTTGTTTAGTGTTATACCAAAGAACACCAAAATAATACACTTTATGCCTGAAAAAAACTTGTTGCAAAGTTTGGTGAGTTTTCGTGTTTGTTCAGTGGATCAAATATGAGATCAAACAACAGAAAACCTAAATACCTTTATCCCCATGTAAACCTTTATTCAGCCTGTAGGGGGCGCTAATGGGCCAATGTCATTGTTCACACTGTCATGTGACCTAGGCCCAGGAGTTGAACAACCGAGTCAAGTTTAGTAAATGTGCTCCTGTTTGCACATAAAATATGAAAGTGTCCATAGAGTCTCCATTGGATAACATGGGAACTTCACACCTCTCTATGAAAATAACCACACTTTGGGAGTCTGTCACGCGCAAACCGTTTGACTAATTCAAATTCTATATTCAACTATTGATGGTCCGTGTGTTGAGACAATGTGGAGCGATTTTCAGCCAAATTAGTGAAACGGCCGCGGCTGGTTTGATGTTTGAGCGAGGTGTACTTTTCAGACATAAAATGATTTTCCCATAAAAACAGACAGGGGAGTGTTTGTCGTCGCCACGGCAACAGGGTAAAAAATAATCATATGTTGTCATTGACTTTTTGAATCCAGATGACAAAACAGAATTATGTGCAAAATTTCAAACATTTTGACAAAACTAAATTTTAAAAAGCCCATATAAAACTTTAACATGGTCTGTAGGGGGCGCTAATGAGCCAATTTCAATATTTCCACTTTCAAATGACCTAGACCCTGGAGCTGAACAATGGATTAAAATTTGGTGCAAATCCTGCTTTGTTTGTGCAAACGGGGGCAAATTTACTTTTGTCAAAAATCCACAAAAAAATTTCACATTTTGCCGCTCCGCTGCTCGGACAACGTTTAATTGATCCAAATTCTATATTCAATAATAGATGGGACATGGGTTTAGACCATGTGGAGCGATTTTGAGACAAATCGGTGAAACGGCCGAGGAGGAAATAATTTCCAGCCGACATGTGTGAAAAAGATCAATTTTCATTTTTCCATTTTCCAATTAAATTAATGAGCTTCCTGTTTGTCAGGGGGCGGAGCCATAATAACTTTTTTTTCATGTCTTGACCTGAGGAACATGTGTACCGAATTTCGTGGCTCTACGACAAACTTGACCTTCGACCCCCTCCCATAGGCGCAATGTAAACTGACTTTTGTAGGGGGCGCTGTTCTGACATTTTTTTAGTCCCATAAAAATAAACACCAAAAAAATAAATTTTTTGCCGGTTCTGAATTTTGGGCAAAATTTCACAACTTTTCATCAATGTTCAGGGGGTCAAATTAAGGTTCAAATTGCAGAAGAAAAAAGAAATAATAAATTAAAGCCGCAAGCGGCATCTAACGGCCCTCGCCGCACCACGCACCGAGATGGCGCTGACGCGCCATTTTCCCACTGCCCTGATGGGAGCGACACTGTGTGTTTTGAACCTATGATTAGTGATTGTGTGTGTCTATTGAAAAGGTAAACTTGATTCTCCCCATGTAATACTTGACTCAGTCTCTAGGGGGCGCTATTGCTGCAATTTCATGATTTACACTTTCAGTTTACCCAAACCTGAGAGTTGAACAATCAATTCAAATTTTGTGCAAATCGGACTTTGTATGTGCAAATGGTGGCATTTAATGTTGTACAATAGCGCCCCCTACAATTTAATTTTTTTAGTGTTATACCAAAGAACACCAAAATAATACACTTTATGCTTGAAAAAAACTTGTGGCAAAGTTTGGTGAGTTTTTGTGTTTGTTCAGTGGGTCAAATATGAGATCAAACAACTGAAAACCTAAATACCTTTTTCCCCATGTAAACCTTTACTCAGCCTGTAGGGGGCGCTAATGGGACTATGTCATTGTTCACACAGTCATGTGACCTAGGCCCAGGAGTTGAACAACAAAGTCAAGTTTAGTGCAAATCAGAGTTTGTAAATGTGCTCCTGTTTGTTCATACAATCTGTGAGTGTGTCCATACAGTCTCCATTGGATAACATGGGAACTTCACACCTCTCTATGAAAATGACCACACTTTGGGAGTCTGTCACGCTCAGACCGTTTGACTAATTAAAACTCTATATGCAACTATTGATGGTCCATGTGTGGACACCATGTGGAGCGATTTTCAGACAAATTAGGGAAACGGCCGTGGCTGGTTTGATGTTTGAGCGAGGTGTACTTTTCAGAGATTTAACGATTTTCTCATAGACACAGACAGGGGAGTGTTGGTCGTCGCCACGGCAACAAGGTAAAAAATAATCATATGTTGTCATTGACTTTTTGAATCCAGATGACAAAACAGAATTATGTGCAAAATTTCAAACATTTTGACAAAACTACATTTTAAAAAGCCCATGTAAAACTTTAACATAGTCTGTAGGGGGCGCTAATGAGCCAATTTCAATATTTCCACTTTCAGATGACCTAGACCCTGGAGCTGAACAATGGATTAAAATTTTGTGCAAATCTGACTATTTTTGTGCAAATGGGAGCAAATTTACTTTTGTCCAAAATTGGAAAAAACATGTCACATTTTGCCGCTCCGCTGCTCGGACAACGTTTAACTGATCCAAATTCTATATTCAATAATAGATGGGACATGGGTTTAGACCATGTGGAGCGATTTTGAGACAAATCTGTGAAGCGGCCGAGGAGGAGATAATTTCCAGCCGACATGTGTGAAAAATATCAATTTTCATTTTTCCATTTTCCAATTAAATTAATGAGCTTCCTGTTTGTCAGGGGGCGGAGCCATAATAACTTTTTTTTCATGTCTTGACCTGAGGAACATGTGTACCGAATTTCGTGGCTCTACGACAAACTTGACCTTCGACCTCCTCCCATAGTAAACTGACTTTTGTAGGGGGCGCTGTTCGGTCATTTTTTTAGTCCCATAAAAATAAACACCAAAAAAATTAATTTTTCGCCAGTTCTGAATTTTGGGCAAAATTTCACAACTTTTCATCAATGTTCAGGGGTCAAATTAAGGTTCAAAGCGCAGAAGAAAAAAGAAAGAAAGAAATAAACCAAGGAATTTTTTTTTTTAAACTTCGAGCAAAAACAATATAGGTTTCCATAGTAACCTATAATACAAATGATACGTCGTTTTAAAGCGAACGACCAGACGAACGCAACTATTGGGTTCTCGGTGATTGACGAGCGCTGACGCGCTCGTCAATCACCTCGCCATCATGAGGTCACCCACCCCCCCCATAGGACCCCATTGATTACACTGTGTTCTACAGCAGGAGCAAAGCCATTCAGTGCCTCCGGCACTGTTTTGTCAGTGTCTGGGCACGCGCCGTCGGGCTTGGGGGACGAATGTCCGGGCTTCGCCCGGACATTTGTCCGTAAGACAGTTGAAGGAACCCCCCTTTAATAGGACTTCAATCATTTCACTGTGTACTAGAGCAGGAACAAAGCCATTCCGTGCCTCCGGCACGGATTTATCAGTGCTTGGGCACGTGCCGTCGCGTGCAGGTCACAATCTCCGGGCTGCGCCCGGAGATTGTGACTTAAAACAGTTCAACGAGTAATGCCTGGGCGAAGCCCAGGCATTACTCGTTGGAAAAGCAATAGGCCCTTACCCCGGTTGGGGCTCGGGCCTAATAAATAAATAAACCAAACCAAACCAAGGAATTTTTTTTTAAAATCTTCGAGCAAAAACAATATAGGTTTCCATAGTAACCTATAATACAAATGATACGTCGTTTTAAAGCGAACGACGAGGCGGACGCAACTATTGGGTTCTCGGTGATTGACGAGCGCTGACACCCCACCCATAGGACCCCATTCATTACACTGTGTACTACAGAAGGAGCAAAGCCATTCAGTGCCTCCGGCACTGTTTTGTCAGTGTCTGGGCACGCGCCGTCGGGCTTGGGGGACGAATGTCCGGGCTTCGCCCGGACATTCGTCCGTAAGACAGTTGAAGGAACCCCCCTTTAATAGGACTTCAATCATTTCACTGTGTACTACAGCAGGAACAAAGCCATTCCGTACCTCCGGCACGGATTTATCAGTGCTTGGGCACGTGCCGTCGCGTGCAGGTCACAATCTCCGGGCGCAGCTTATGACAGTTCAATGAGTAATGCCTGGGCTTTGCCCAGGCATTACTCGTTGGAAAAGCAATAGGCCCTTACCCCGGTTGGGGCTCGGGCCTAATAAATAAATAAATAAGGAATTTTTTTTTTAAATCTTCGAGCAAAAACAATATAGGTTTCCATAGTAACCTATAATACAAATGATACGTCGTTTTAAAGCGAACGACAAGGCGAACGCAACTATTGGGTTCTCGGTGATTGACGAGCGCGTCAGCGCTCGTCAATCACCTCGCCATCATGAGGTCACCCACCCCCCCCATAGGACCCCATTGATTACACAGTGTTCTACAGCAGGAGCAAAGCCATTCAGTGCCTCCGGCACTGTTTTGTCAGTGTCTGGGCACGCGCCGTCGGGCTTGGGGGACGAATGTCCGGGCTTCGCCCGGACATTCGTCCGTAAGACAGTTGAAGGAACCCCCTTTTAATAGGACTTCAATCATTTCACTGTGTACTACAGCAGGAACAAAGCCATTCCGTGCCTCCGGCACGGATTTATCAGTGCTTGGGCACGTGCCGTCGCGTGCAGGTCACAATCTCCGGGCTGCGCCCGGAGATTGTGACTTATGACAGCAATAGGCCCTTACCCCTTACCCCGGTTGGGGCTAGGGCCTAATAATAAACCAAGGAATTTTTTTTGTAAATCTTTGAGCAAAAACAATATAGGTTTCCATAGTAACCTATAATACAAATGATACATCGTTTTAAAGCGAACGACGAGGCGAACGCAACTATTGGGTTCTCGGTGATTGACGAGCGCGTCAGCAGGAGCAAAGCCATTCAGTGCCTCCGGCACTGTTTTGTCAGTGTCTGGGCACGCGCCGTCGGGCTTGGGGGACGAATGTCCGGGCAGGAACATTCCTGCCACTGATTTATCAGTGCTTGGGCACGTGCCGTCGCGTGCAGGTCACAATCTCCGGGCGCAATCTCTTGTGACTTATGACAGTAATGCCTGGGCTTTGCTCAGGCATTACTCATTGGAAAAGCAATAGGCCCTTACCCCGGTTGGGGCTCGGGCCTAATAAATAAGGATTTTTTTTTAAAAATCTTCGAGCAAAAACAATATAGGTTTCCATAGTAACCTATAATACAAATGATACGTCGTTTTAAAGCAAACGACGAGGCGAACGCAACTATTGGGTTCTCGGTGATTGACGAGAGCTGACGCACTCGTCAATCACCTCGCCATCATGAGGTCACCCACCCCCCCATAGGACCCCATTCATTACACTGTGTACTACATCAGGAGCAAAGCCATTGTTTTGTCAGTGTCTGGGCACGCGCCGTTGGGCTTGGGGGACGAATGTCCGGGCGAAGGAACCCACCTTTAATAGGACCTCAATCATTTCACTGTGTACTACAGCAGGAGCAAAGCCATTCCGTGCCTCCGGCACGGATTTATCAGTGTCTGGGCACGTGCCGTCGCGTGCAGGTCACAATCTCCGGTCACAATCTATGACAGTTACAAAAAGCAATAGGCCCTTACCCCGGTTGGGGCTCGGGCCTAATAAAGAGAGACATATCCTTGAAGTTCAAAGATTGGGAAAAACCAACATTCCCTTTAAAAAAATCTTGTATCTATGTTTAAACTAAATGTTTATGTTTAATGCTTAGAAAGTGATGTTTTTAAGCAGTTACATTGTTTGTCTTATAAAAAAAAGACAAACAATGTATTTTAAATTTGTATAGTCTAAATAATGACAATAATAATAGCAATGATAATAATAGTAAAAAAATAATGCATTATTCTTATTCATTTTCATTTTCATTTTCATTTATTTCGGTTTGGTCATTTACAGATCATTCAAACAAAACATTTGAAACTTAGAACACAATAAAAAACCAGGTGCAGGCAGAAGCTAGAGCAGAACTATTTGGGACACTTACAAATTATACAGCATTATTGTTGCTAAATTACTGCTAAAGCCACATCTGTCCAGGGAAAGAATAATTATTTTCACGTCTACACTCTTTTAACGAACATTGTTTTCCATTTTGAGTACGAGGAGGTGGATGCAGAGCAGCTCAAGATGCTGCTGAATGAAAACATCCTCAAAGGTATGAAATATAACAGTGCATTGATCTCACAGAAGTAACAAGAGGCATTTGTTTTACCCTCAGGGGACTTGAAATCCGGGGGCTTCTCTGTGGACGCCTGCCGCAGCATGGTCGCGCTCATGGACGTATCCTTTCCAAAAATCTCTCTGAATTAAACGTTATGATTCTTTCAAGTGTTTTAATACGCCCTAACACAACCCCCAAGTCTTCCATTACCGGGAGACTGAATGGTGAAGAATTCGTCCGTTTATGGGGAAAAGTCACAATGTTCAAGGTGAGGACACAAAAACGCCTCTGTAATTTCTCCATCACAATTTGTTTATGACTATATTTAATGTTGAACAGGACATTTTCTACCGTACGGACGTGTCGCGGACTGGAACCCTGTCTATGAATGAGCTGAGAAATGCCATCATGGCTGTCGGTAATATGTTTGAATCAAGACTTTGTTTGGTGATTAAATAAAATGAGATGTAGTGGTGTTTATTATAGTTAAGTTGGAAGAAAAGCTGAAAAACATATGAAGAGTAAAGTTCTTAAATGATTCCACTGCTGTAATAAATCCAAACCACATGATAGGGGTAGAAAACAACTCAATGCTCCTGAAACTGTCAATTAATAGATATTTTCATCCCTTTATTAGTCCATTTTTGGATTGAGTGGGGTGGGGGGTTGGGAAGATGGCTGCTCCACAGCAGGAGCTTCAGGCAATTTGGGGTTATGGGTCTTGCCCAAGAACACAACGACAGCAGACATTAGTAGGAGCAGTTGGAGTAGGTCCCATCATGGGATCGAACCCACGACCTTCCGGGCCAAAGGCCAATGCTCTCCCAACTGAGCATGAGGCATGGCCCAGCTTTTTATGAGAAACTTGATTATTTTGTCTAAGTAATCATGCAGTGGGGGGACAGTGGCGCAGTTGGCAGTGCATTGGTCTTTCAATCAATCAATCAATCAATCTTTATTTATAGGGCGCTTTTCCTGCACAGGGCAGCACAAAGCGCCTCACAGTCCACACCACACAATGCACAAATCATCACCATTAAAATACAATTAAAAACACATATGTAATTAAAAAGCATTAAAATCACATAAGTAATTTAAAAACATAAGAATCACACAAGTAATTAAAAACAATAAAATAGTTAAAAACACAAAAAGTTACAACAATAAATAACAAGGTGTGTTAAAAAGATAAAATTCTCTAGTTGTATGCACAGGAAAAAAGAAAAGTCTTTAACATGGATTTGAACATTGACAGAGAGGCAGCCAGTCTCACATCCTCAGGAAGACTGTTCCAGACTTTAGCTGCATAAATCTGAAAAGCAGCCTCCCCCTGTCTAGTCCTGACTCTGGGCACTAACAGGAGTCCCGTCCCTGCGCTCCTCAGAGTCCGGGCTGGTTCATATGGGACTAGCATATCATGGATGTACTTTGGTGCAAGGCCATGGAGAGACTTGTACACCAGGAGAGCTGCTTTAAAGTCTATCCTCTGGGCCACGGGAAGCCAGTGCAGAGACCTGAGGACCGGACTAATGTGGTCGTACTTCCTGGTTCTAGTCAGGACTCGGGCTGCAGCATTTTGAATATACTGCAGCTGTTTTACTGCATGTTTGGAGATACCTGTGAGCAGGCCATTGCAGTAATCCAGCCTACTGGAAACAAAAGAATGGATAAGAATCTCCAAGTCTGCCCTGGACACAATATTTTTAATTTTGGCAATATTTTTCAGATGATAAAAAGCTGCTGATGTTACCGATCCAATGTGGCTATTGAAGTTTAAGTCAGAGTCCATTATTACTCCCAGATTTCTGACCTTATTTAAAGGCCTTAGGGAGAGAGACTGAAGGTGACAAATGACGGTCTCTCTTTGTTTCTCGGGACCAAAGACAATCATTTCGGTTTTGTCCGCATTTAGCTGGAGAAAATTGCATTGCATCCACTCACTGATCCGCTGGATACAGCGAAGGAGTGAGTCCACCGGTCCATGCTCTCCTGCAGTCAGTGAGACATAGATCTGAGTGTCATCAGCGTAATTGTGGTAGGACACTTTCATACTTTGAATTAACTGACCTAATGGCAGCATGTAAATATTGAACAGGAGAGGTCCCAGAATCGACCCCTGTGGCACTCCGCAGGTCAGGGCCATATTATCTGAGACATAGTCTCCAATCTCCACAAAATACTTCCTTTCTTCTAGATAGGACCTAAACCAGCTTAGGGCAGTACCAGCAACACCAACCCAGTCCTCCAGTCTCTGCATGAGAATCTCATGGTCAACGGTGTCGAAAGCGGCACTCAGATCTAACATGACTAAAACAGAGACTTTTCCTGCATCAGTGTTAAGCCGAATATCATTTGTTACCTTGACTAGAGCGGTCTCAGTACTGTGGTGTGGTCTAAAGCCAGACTGAAACATGTCAAATGAGTCATTAGATATTAAAAATATCTTTGAGTCTGCTGGTCATGGGTTTGAGCCATTGTTGTGTCCTTGGGCAAGACACTTAATCCCACTTTGCCTGAAGCCCCCGCTGAAAGATCAAGGCTGCTCTCGCAGCTGACAGAGCAGCCATCTTCCTGTGGACTTACAGGAGGATAAATGAATTGGGTGAAGCTCTGGCTGCCACCCCCCGACCCAGAGATGGATGAAGGGGAAGAAAATGGATGGATGGATCTTGCAGTGATCCAGAAGCTGTATGAGTGGTCTGTAGGATGCTACAAGAGCATTTGTTTGGAATTATCAATTGAATAAATAGTTTTCTCTGCTGTGGGATCCGCTTACCAGAACACTTACAGAACAATTGATCCTGAAGCTGTAGACACAAACCTGATCAAAAGTTAAGGCCCAATGCTGACCACTCTTACAGCCGGTAGCTTTTATCCCACAATTCCCCTCTAATTCTAGACATATCACAGTAATTACTTGAATTTACAATCACCACAGAGTACAGCAATAGTCCAAATATATCTAATTTGTCTGTTATACCCTTCTCTAAACCGTTTTCTTCAGAACTTTATACTGAAATTGATCAGAAAATGGGGCTGTAAAATATAATACATTGTAGTTTTTTGTTCTAGTTTAACACTTTAGAATCATACATCTATACGAATGTTACTTTTGTCCATATGTGGAGCTCATGTAACTAGTTTATTCTGCCCTAGGACTGAGACTGAGCGACGAGATGCTCAGTCTGATGGCCGTGAGATATGGAGCCTCCTCTGGCCACATGAGTCTGGAGAGCTTCATCAGTCTGGTTCTTCGCTTCGAATGCATGTCCAGTAAGTGTCCAAATGATAATGATGAACCTATTCGCATCTGCTTTGTCCAACCCCGTTTCAAACCTGTGTTAGTGCAAAGAGATTAAAATTGTGTTCTGCAGGTTTGAACAAAATCAAAATCAGAATCAAAATCGAACTAACTATGACTAGCATGTGCAACTACTGGATATGATTTTGGAAAAAGATTTTGGTCCGGTGAGAGCGAGTGAACGTTGTGTGGTCGTTTCTGGCTCCATCTAGTGGCAGTAAATCATATTGTTTAGGAATAACAAACAAAGATGCAAACATTTGATCTTACAATAAATGATCTACCACAAAGTCACCCAAAACACACACAAAAACAAACAAGCATATTTTGTTTGACTAATTAAGTCTACATTTTGTTTTTCCCTAGAAATTTACAATAAGTTGTCCAATGGAACGACAATGACCTTGCGAGAGTCTGAGGTGGGTATTATATACTATACATCATTACATTTATGAACTGTTTACTGAATATTTGTTCTTTTTATTTTACCAGTGGCTGTATCTTTCCATGTACACCTAAAGAGCGTTTTTTGAAATTCCATAAAGCAGCTATTATATGCTATACTATACTTTATGCTATAATATGCTATACTATACTATAATATACAAAACAATACTATATGCTGCGATTTCCTTTATCATCATAAATCCTTGTAGACAGCATTAGAGAATGTGTTATGTGTGTAATTATAATGTTAGTATACACTATAAAGCATATTACATTTACACGGCTGGGGCCCTTTCCTGCTGAGACAGAACCCCTTGTATATATCTTCCGTGGTAAAAAAACAAACAAAAATTAAAGCCGCAAGCGGCGTCGAACGGCCCTCGCCGTACCGCGCGACTCCCCGCACCGCACCACGCCTCCCCGCACCATGCCGCCTCTCACCGCGTCGCCGCGCACTACGCCGCCTGACACCACGCCGCCTCACACCACGCCGCCTCACACCACGCCGCCCTGCACCAAGCCGCATCGCACCACGCCGTGCTGCACCACGCCGCACCGCTTATTGGATGTGGTGCTGTCGCGCCATTATTTGGTCCCATAGCCATAAAAAAAAGTTTGTGAAATTGTAATGAATATGATGAGTTGAGTTGGTTTGGCTTCCAATGTGAAACTTTGCCTCAGTCTGTAAGGGGCGCTAATGGGCCAATTTCAAATATTTCACGTTTACGTGACCTAGATCCTAGAGTTGAACAATGTATTAATGTTTTGTGCAAATCAGACTTTGTATTTGCAAATGGAAGCTGTTTTTTGATCGTAAAAAATGGCAAAACAAAAAAGGTCACATTTTGCCGCTCCTCTGCTCGTACATTGTTCCACTGATCAAAAATCCCTTAGGTCATTTTGAAGCTACATGTGTTGAGATGATGTGGAGCGATTTTGAGGCCAATCGGTGAAACTGCCGAGGAGGAGTCGCTTTCCAACCGACATGAATGAAAATGTTTGCTTTTCATTTTTCCATTTTGCAGTGAAATTTATGGGCTTCCTGTTTGTCAGAGGGCGAAGCCATAATAATATTTTTTTCTTGTCTTGACTTGAGGAACATGTGTACCGAATTTCGTGGCTCTACGACAAACTTGACCTCTGAAACTCCCATTGGCTGTTGTAGGTGGCGCTGTTCTAGCATTTTTTGAGTCCCATAAAAATAAACACCAAAATATCAAATTTTTCACCAGGTCTGATGTTTGGGCAAAATTTTACAACTTTTCATGCATGTTCAGGGGGTGAAATTAAGGCTCAAAGTGCAGAATTTGACATCTCTCGAGCAAAAATAATAGGCCCTTTCCCCGTTCGGGGCTCGGGCCTAATTAAAGCCGCGGCGTCGAACGGCCCTCGCTGCACCGTGTGACACCCCGCACCAAGCCGCAACGTGCCGCTCCACAACTAAGCCTTACCACACCGTACCACGCAGCACTGTGCAAAGGAGGTGGCGCCGCCGTGTGATGATTTGTTCCCGTAGCCATTGAAGGATGTTAGTCAAATTGTTATGAATATGATCAGTTGAGTTGGTTTGGCTCCCCATGTAAAACTTTTCCTCAGTCTGTAGGGGGCGCTAATAGGCCAATTTCAAATATTTCACTTTCACCTGACCTAGACCCTGGAGTTGAACAATGGATTCAAGTTTTGTGCAAAACAGTCTTTGTTTGTGCAAACGGGAGCAAATTTAATGTTGTCAAAAACGGCCAAAGAAAGGTCACATTTTGCCGCTCCGCTGCTCAAACAATGTTTCACTGATCAAAAATCCCTGAAGTCATTTTGAATGTACATGTGTTGAGATGATGTGGAGCAATTTTGAGGCAAATCGGTGAAACGGCCGAGGAGGAGTCGCTTTCCAACCGACATGTATGAAAAGGATTGCTTTTCATTTTTCCATTTTGCAATGCAATTTATGGGCTTCCTGTTTGTCAGAGGGCGGGGCCATAGTAACTTTGTTTTCATCTCTTGACTTGAGGAACATGTGTACCAAAATTTCATGGCTCTACGACAATTTTGACCTCGAACCCCTCCCATACGCATTTTTAAATTGGCTGTTGTAGGAGGCGCTAATGAGCCAATTTCAATTGTTTTACTTTGAAATGACCTAGACCCAAGAGTTGAACCATGGATTCAAGTTTTGTGCAAATCAGACTTTGTTTGTGCAAACGGAAGCAATTTTTCTATTGTCAAAATCGGAAAAAATACGCCACTATTTGGCGCTCCGCTGCTCAAACAATGTTTTGAAAATCAAAATTATGGTACATGTGTTTAGACGACGTGGAGCGATTTTGAGACAAATCGGTGAAACGGCCGAGGAGGAGTCGCTTTCCAACCGACACGTGTGAAAAGGATAATTTTTCATTTGTCCATTTTTAAGTGAAATTTATGAGCTTCCTGTTTGTCAGGGGGCGGGGCCATAATATCTCTTATTTCATGTCTCTTTCTTCTTTCAAACGGGAGCAAATAGAATATTGTCAAAAACGGCCAATAAAAACTCACTTTTTGCCGCTCCGCTGCTCAAACAACGTTTCACTGATCAAAAATCCCTTTGGTTATTTTGAAGGTACATGTGTTGAGATGATGTGGAGCAATTTTGAGGCCAATCGGTGAAACGGCCGAGGAGGAGAAGATTTCCAACCGACATTTTGCAGTGAAATTCATGGGCTTCCTGTTTGTCAGAGGGCGGGGCCATAATAAAAAAAAAAAATCTTGTCTTGACTTGAGGAACATGTGTACCAAATTTCATGGCTCTACGACAAACTCCAAAACTCCCATAGGGGTATTATTTTGGCTGTTGTAGGTGGCGCTGTTCTGGCATTTTTTGAGTCCCATAAAAAATAAACACCAAAATATCAAATTTTTTGCCAGGTCTGATTTTTGGACAAAATTTTACAACTTTTCATGCATGTTCAGGGGGTCAAATTTAGGCTCAAAGTGCAGAATTTGACATCTCTCGAGCAAAAACAATAGGCCCTTTCCCTGTTTGGGGCTCGGGCCTAAATAATACCCCCATGGGAGTTTTTGGAGGTCAAGTTTGCCGTAGAGCCATGCAATTAGGTACACATGTTCCTCAAGTCAAGACATGAAAAAAATGTTATTATGGCCCCGCCCTCTAACAAACAGGAAGCCCATAAATTTCACTGCAAAATGGAAAAATGAACAGCAATAATTTTTGTACATGTCGGTTGGAAAGCGACTCCTCCTCGCCCGTTTCACCGATTTGCCTCAAAATTGCTCGGCATCATCTCAACACATTTACCCTCAAAGGGACCAAAGGGATTTTTGATCAGTGAAACACTGTTTGAGCAGCGGAGCGGCAAAATGTGACCTTTTTTTGGCCGTTTTGGACAATATTAAATTTACTCCTGTTTGCACATACAAAGTCTGATTTGCACAAAACTGTAATACATTGTTCAACTCCAGGGTCTAGGTCAATTGAAAGTGAAATAAAAGAACTTGGCTCATTAGCGCCCCCTACAGATGGGGTCAAAGGTTTCAGAGTTTTTCATAATTGTTGCCGCTCAGAGGAGTAATAGAAGCAACAGGCTCCTGGTTGTTGCTGGCCCCTTTGTTCCTTCGACTGTCAGACTGTACAACAACAAAAAAGACACCAGGACACCTGAATTTCTCCTACGGGGAATCAATAAAGTATCTATATATCTATCTAATTGGTGGTAAACCTAAAACTTCAGATGCATTTCTGATACTAGAAGCTCCTGTTAGTGCTCAGAGTCAGAACTAAACATGGGAAGGCTGCTTTTCAGATTCATGCTGCTAAAATCTGGAACAGTCTTCCTGAAGATGTGAGACAGGCCTCCTCTCTGACAATGTTTAAAACCAGGTTAAAAACAGTTCTGTTTAGCTGTGCATACAACTGAGGTATTTTATATTTTTATCTTTCTTTTTAATGTTCTGTGATTATTTATGATTTTAATGCTTTCTTATTTTGTTCAGCACTTTGAATTGCCTTGTGTATGAATTGTGCTATATAAATAAACTTGCCTTGCCTACTAACTGACTCTGCGCTAAATGAAGATCTTAAAGCAGCACTTAGTATTACATTGAAAGGCCCATTGCAAGCCCACATTGAATTTACAGTGGGGCAAAAAAGTATTTAGTCAGCCGCCGATTGTGCAAGTTCTCCTACTTAAAATAATGACAGAGGTCTGTAATTTTCATCATAGGTTCACTTCAACTGTGAGGGACAGAATGTGAAAAAAAAATCCAGGAATTCACATTGTAGGATTTTTAAAGAAAATAATATTTGGTCAATAACAAAAATTCAACTCAATACTTTGTAATATAACTTTTGTTGGCAATAACAGAGGTCAAACAATTACTATAGGTCTTTACCAAGTTTGCACACACAGTAGCTGGTATTTTGGCCCATTCCTCCATGCAGATCTTCTCGAGAGCAGTGATGTTTTGGGGCTATCGCCGAGCAACACAGATTTTCAACTCCCTCCACAGATTTTCAATGGGGTTGAGGTCTGGAGACTGGCTAGGCCTCTCCAGGACTTTCAAATGCTTCTTATGGAGCCACTATTTCGTTGCCCGGGCGGTGTGTTTGGGATCATTGTCATGCTGGAAGACCCAGCCACGTTTCATCTTCACAGCTCTCACTGATGGAAGGAGGTTTTGGCTCAAAATCACACGATTCATGGCTCAATTCATTCTTTCCTTAACACGGATCAGTCGTCCTGTCCCCTTAGCAGAAAAACAGCCCCAAAGCATGACGTTTCCACCCCCATGGTTCACAGTAGGTATGGTGTTCTTGGGATGCAACTCAGTATTCTTCTTCCTCCAAACACGACGAGTTGAGTTTATACCAAACAGTTCTACTTTGGTTTCATCTGACCACATGACATTCTCCCAATCCTCTGCTGTATCATCCATGTGCTCTCTGGCAAACTTCAGACGGGCCTGGACATGCACTGGCTTCAGCAGGGGGACACGTCTGGCACTGCAGGATTTGATTCCCTGTCGTCGTAGTGTGTTACTGATGGTCCCCTTTGTTACTTTGGTCCCAGCTCTCTGCA